TGTGAATAGCATGTGAATTATGCTCTAAAATGATTTTCATTAGATTTTCCCCTCTTGGTGCAGCATGAGATAATAATGGTTAAAAAACAAACAAACCAAAATCCACTTTCTCCTTTGATAACACCAGATAGAATAAGCACAAATTGCCATGAGAACTCATTAAATTACCTTGCCACTTTTGACAGGTGGTCCATTGCTTGCTGGGAATGGAAAAGGAACATGAAATAGAAGTCAATGGTGCGGACACACTGTGGGGAGAAACAGGTAATGATGGTCCCACCACTTGTAATGGGGGCAGGAGGGGGACGGGCGGCTTTCTTCATGTTTTAGCCCCTGTTTGGGCCTCATTGTCTTAAGAACGGCTTCTGATGGGTGTATGCCTGTTTTTATTTTATCCCAAGGTGTCTGAAGTTTAGAGCATGTTTTTTCTTTTTAAGGAGGAAAAACTTTCCCAAATGAGTAGCAGGGCATTGCTTAGAAACCCGTGAAACGTGAGTGGGTTTTTCATCAGACCAGCGGTTACTGTGCATCTGATTGTCAGGTGGGAAGGCCTCAAGGGTACCCACCTGTGAGCCCATTCTTCCTACGAGCCCTGCAAAGGAAGCAGGGTGCCTCCGCCACCCTCTCTGTGTGCCCACGGCACAGTCCACTTCCCTGGCCCAGATTTTATTGCTAAGTAATTTTCTAGTACGCTGCATGGTGGTGTGTTGAGTGCTCTGGTTGCCTCCCCTCCTCCTAGGAGGACCGTAACAGGAGGCCTGGGGCGTAGTGATTACGAGTTGGGCTACTAGCTGCAAGGTCAGCAGTTTGGAAGTGCCAGCAGCTCCCAGGGAGAGAGCTGGGGCTTTCCGTCTCGGAAACCCAGTGGCACTTCTGCCCGGTCTCGTAGGGTCACTGTGAGTGGGCGTTGATGCGATGCTGTGAGTTGGATGTTCTCTGGTGGGAGCAGTCCAGGGAAAGGGCTGCATTTAAGGACCTGGTGGGAGCTCCCCCCGGCTGGTGGTCACAGAGTCCTTTCACGGTCTTCCTTTGAGCATCTGCCAAGCAGATGTGAGAGAAAACCTAGCGTTCCCGTCCACCACCGGCACCCGGCCAGGTCTGGTGGATCCCAACTCAAGCCAATGCTAGAGGACAGAATAGAACTGCTTCCCATGGGGCTTCCTGCACTGTGAACTTGAAGGAGCGCGACTGGCCGCTTCAGAGACCACCAGCCTTGGCTCACAGCTGTGTACTGTCCCCACCAAACTCCCAAAGCACCTTCAGTCCGAGTTCAGCAGGTCCCTTCCAAAGCCTCATGCATAGCCAGTAGAGCACTTCAGAAGCCTGGCATAGCCACTCACCCCCTTGCTCGCTGGCATTCTGTGAACTCAGTCAGTCGAAGGTCCTTTGGAGCGGCTTTTTCGTTCCTCCAGGTAAGCACTGACTTGGGCTTAGAGGGCCCAGGCTGTTCTCGGTGACTGCGCGTCAGTCAAACCCCTCTTGCTGCCTCTGCACATTTCCACATCGAGTACCTTTTCTCCTGTGTCCCCTCAGAAATGACCAACGCATGTTACCAGCCCACACCTGCCTCCTCCCTGGTTCTGTATCAGTCCGAGGGCTACCTGGAAACCCTTGGGGGCGGCTTGCGTGAGAGAACTTAGGGAATGTCGGGCTTTGTGTTCATGGGATCTGTGTCTGAGACCCATGCAGGGGCCACACAGTGCCCTGGTCCGTGAACCTGACCCCAAACATAAGGATGCCGGCCCACAAGGGAGACAGGCAGCGTGACTGAAGGAGTCATTTTGCCATCCCTGGTGGCATAGTGGTTACCAAAAAGGTGGCACAATCTCAGAAATGCACAGGGGCAGGTTTGCCCTGTCCTGTCGGGTCACTGGGTCGGAATTG